ACGATGAAAAAGAAATTATGAGTAGAGAAATAACATATTTAAGGTTAGAATAATATTTTAATGTAGCAAAGTATCAACCTTACCAACCCGACTAACCCGTACGGGTTGAGTTGGTTGGTTTGCACTTTGGTTTTGGTTTTGGTTGGGTTGGGTTAAGATTGTTCAAACAGTAATATTGGATTAAGTTGTTTAAATGTCTTCAATCTGATTTACCCATTATTTATTTATAATAATAATAATAATATCACGTGGTCAATAATATCCGTGAGGAATTGTTAAGGTCGCGTTCTCCGTCAATGGCCGGCTGTCGTCGTCGGACTCTGACACCTTCCAACCATTTTGTTGTTCATTTACACCCAACTGGAAAATTTTCAAAAAGGCCCTCTAACTTTGTTTATATTTAACTTTTTGAGTAAATTACAATTTTGTTCTCGTGGTTTGTTAATAATTCCATTTTTTTTTGAAGAGGGGGGGGTTGGGAAGAGGTTCCTCCTATCATGAGAAAAAAAACCAAAAACACTAAGCGCTAAAACAGATTAAGCACTCGGGTGTAAGGATGGTGATTTGCCCCGAACCGGTGGTGAACCTGGTTCACCCGACCCAAACGGGGATTCCCCGCTAAAACAGGTCCCAGGGCCAGGGCGGGGATCCCCGGTAGAATCAAACTAAAGGATACTAATTATGGGGTTTGATCGGGGATTGACCGGGGTTTACTAGAGATTTGACCGGGGACGGGATGATAATCCTCGTACCCGTCGGGGACCAGGGGACTTTACTACAAACAGGGGTCGGGGCCGGGGATTACAAAACCCGCCACATTCCCGCCCTATTGCCATGCCTACTAGGGTGGGGCGAACCACATCCACCAGAAAAGAAATCAAAGCTATCAAATAATTTCAATTTTTGTTCTTTATGGTTTAGGAATTGTGATTTTTCGTCTTTATGATTTACGAATCTATTGTTATTTTTGTTACTAGATTAGTTCTTACCTTAAAAGTATAAGGGACCAAAAAAGTAGAGAATTGTAGTGCACGGGGATCGAAACAACAATAAGCTGTAAATCATAAAGATAAAGATAAAGATAAGCGGTTGTTTGGTTGGTTTTTCGTTTAGGGGTCGTTTACCATATACTTATCTGGTAAGCGCTTACCAGTAAAATTTAGCACTATCTTTGACTTGCAGGGAAAAATTTTAGTCCACCAAAACGGTATTGTATGCAATAATTTATCCGGTAAGCGTTTACCATGGTAAGAGTCGTCGCTCTCACTTATCGGGTATGATTTTTGGTCCTTATCTCGCTCTTACTGGGTAAAATTCTTGGTCCTTACCATATTTATCCGTTAAGGTAGTGTGATTTGGTAAGCGCTTACCTGGGTAAGCCCTTTAATCGTGTATGGATAGAGCTATTTGTATTGATTAATATGTCAGAATAGATTGTGAATGTTTTTGTTTAGGATGATTTTTCATAGATGAAATGAATTTGTTTTTTAATTGGAAGGGGAAAGTTGTTGACTTTCTATATAAAGTTCTCCTTTTAAACTTACCGAATAAGACACTTTCTATATCATCAAGTCACTACCAAATAGTCATATATAACTTAAGATCATTAAGATGCTAAGGGGTTATTTGTTTACCTCTTAATAGTTTCATTAAGAATCAACCTCTTAATCGTTAAAAGTTGAATCTTGTTTGGCAAAAAAATTTTTTTGCCTCTTAATAGTTCTAAAATCCTCTGAATAATTTCGCATCCTGGGCCTCCCTTAACCAACACCCTAATTTCATTGTAAACAATTCCCCAACAATTAAATTTCATTTTGCACTATATCACGAGAGTCTCTTAATCATTCTGACCATTTAATCATTTTACACCAAACCATTCAGAAACTACCAAACATCCTCTAAGAAACAAACCCTAACAATGAACCACAAACCACAAGGATAAATTGCAATTTACTCTAACTTTTATATTTATTATATTTTTTTATTAATACTTTTTATTATTGTAATTTTTTTACTTTTTATTATTATAAATATTTTTTTTCATATTTTCTTGTTATTTTTATGACATTAACATGTTTTTTATATTTTTTTTTTCCTTATGATTATTATTATTATTATTATATAATACTTTTAATATGATTTTTCTATTTTATTACAATAACAGGAGTATGTATTTTCTACAAGTAAAAATACAAAGTAAATAATAAAGTAAAGAACAAATTACCTTGTGATCAGGTGACTTTAACTTTCTTTTCGGGTTTTTTACAGTTGCTGAATGGTCTGGTACATAGTGATTAAATGATCAAAATGATTAATAGTCTCTCATGATATAGTACAAAATAAATATAATTGTTTGATAATTGTTTACAATAGAATTAAGACGCTGAATGGTTAAGCGAGACCCACGATACAAAATCATTAAGAGGGTTTTAGAACCATTAAAATACAGACTTTTTTTGCTAAACAAAATTCACCTCATGACAATTCAGATGTTGCCTCTTAATATAACTATTAAGAGGTATACAAACATATTTTTTTTAAAATTCACCGGATCATGTCCTTGTGATTGTGTTCTTTTAACAAGTTACATCTCAGTGATTGCATTTTTTTAATGAGTCAGGTCTTTGTGGTTGCAGTTTTTTTATGAGTTCGGTCCCTAAATAAATCAACGACCTACGTCTCTATGGTTGCACTAAGAACCCAACTCATTATAAAAACACAATCACAAGAACATGACCCGTTGAATTTAAAAAAAAAAAAACAGATAAGAATCGTTAAAAACATATAGCGACGATGAACAAAACATGTAAAGATTTGGTCCTATGAGATGCCACTTTTTTTTGAAGTATATATAATATTTATATGCGGTAAATAGAACAAATAAACTCACATACTCTTCTCACATTTGAAGAGGTTTGAACTCTTGACCTATTACGGGGCCAATGACTCACATACCGCTAAGCTAAAGGTCCTTTGTAGATGCCACTTTTTATGCCCAATAAATGGGTTTTTTTTAATAATATGCAAGGTATTTTTTTTTTGCTTATGTTGTTACAGAAATTTAAAGGTAATTAAACTTGCAACACATATAGCATATAGAAAGATGTTACTGATATAGGGGAATACACATCAAACTAAAACGAATGGACCTTTAAGACACCTGCTTTTTTAACTGTATCGATATGATAAAACAGATATATCATATATATATATATATATACACACACTCTCTCTTTCATACTTAAATCCCCCTCTCGTCAACCACAAATCCCTTTTACAATAAGTCTTTATTCATTTATTGAGAACGTCAATGAACAGTTTCTATATAACGATACCAATCAATATTTTTGTTTTAATTAACATCTTAAATTTAAATTATATGCGTCATTTAAGTTCGTGCTCTTTCTCTCTTTATATATATATATATATATATATATATATATATATATATATATACACACACACATACATACTGGAATAGTACTCGTGCAATGCAGCGAGACATATCTTGATTTTAATATTTCGTTTTATATTTTGGGTTTATCGATGTTGTAATGCGATTTTATTTGGTTTTGAGAAAAATAAAATGTTTTTATTTTTAAAGTAAATATAAATTTGAATATATTATAAATTTTTAAAAAAAATAAGCGATATTATTATCAAATTAACTATTTAAAAGTTTTTGTTTTTTGTGTGATTTCTTTAAGTCAATTATTTATTATAATTTAATTAAAGTTTAAAAACGAACTAATTTATTTTTTGTTTAGTAAAATAATTTTTTAAATATAATAATTAAGTATTCTGTTACAACTCAATAATTACATTAATTATATTTTAGATTTTTTATATATAAAATGATGTTTATCATGTATTTGATTATGTTTATCTGCAGTTAGTTACATGAATTCAACACATGAAGTTTTAATAAGATGTTATCATGCACATTCTACTTGTAATCTTGAATTTTAAGTAATATGCATAAACTAAACAATACTTTATACATAAAAAATTGTTTTTAAGAGTTTGTGTAAAATGATTTATAATATAGTGTGTGTGTGTGTATATATATATATATATATATATATATATATATATATACACTAGAAGGGTACTCGTGCAATGCAGCAGCGGGATACATCTTCATTTTAATGTGCTGTTTAATTTTTTTTTGTTTTTGTTGATATAATAATGTTTATGTGATTTTGAGAAAAATAATATTTTTACTTTAAATTTGAATATATCATAAAATTTTGAAAAAAATATATAGATATTAATATGAAATTAAATATTTAAAAGTTTTTTTTATTAC